AAGTGGCTGCTTAAACAAAGCTGTCAGCCTCAGGTTGCTGTAGGTCCATCCCCACAACACTAGAGCCAGCCAAACCACCCCTGAGGGCATTCGGAGCAAAAAAAAAAACCAAAAAACCTTATATTAATCAAAATTTAGATTGTTTCTCATTTATAGAGGAAGAAAGCTTATGTAATTACTCATGCATAAATGAAGGCTACTGATTTTGCCCTGGGTTAAAGAGACACCCTCTTCTTCCCTCCTAAACCCACTATGTTTCTCTGAGTCTTTCTTCTTCGCCACCTGCTCTTCTCTCTCCTCAGGTTGTTATTCTTGGAGGCTGAGACTTAATTTAAGCTAATGGAATGTGCATTTATTGGCTAGATGCTGCCGTTGCCCCCAGAGTCTGTCTCCAGGAGGTTAATGCAAGGACAAGCGATTTTGAGTGTGTTTCACCATGCAGTTACATACACTTGAGCTTATTTCATTTTGTTTTCATTGTCATACAGGTACAAAAACCAAGTACCAATAAACGTCCATGCCAACCCTGGGAAGTATATTATTGAGAGTCGATATGGAATTCATACTCTGGAAATCACCGAGTAAGAGAACATCGGTGTTTGTGTGTGTGTTGTCCAGCAGTCACTCAGCGACAGCTTTGCCCCTCCCCCTTGCTGCAGCAGCTGGGCACCATGGGGAACAGTTGTGTGCATTTCTCTTCTCTTTACCCATAAGGAGACGCACATACCCAGCATGCCCACAGCACCTCCCAAAACGAGCAGACATGGGAATTTAGAATTAATTTTTATCTTTTTATTTATCCCGTTTTAGACATCAGCAAGTTATAGGTAGGCATTTCTATTCAGTTACCCCTGCAGAGTTGCAAATCAGCATTGTCATTACATCCTCTTGCTTCTAATCAATGAAGGCCACGAAGACAAGTTGGATGGCATGTACGTGGGCTGACTTGGAGGCAGTGTTATTCCCTGCAGCTCACAAGGGAAGACTACATACCTTGTCTGTGTATGTATTAGGGGAAGGCACAGACATTAGAATATTTTAGGGGAAAGCAAATTCCAAAGCAATATTTGAAAATAGAATTCACGTCAGAATTTCCAAGCACAAACCCTGGTATGGTGGTGCACGCCTGTAATCCTAGCACTCAGGAAGCTGAGGCAGGAGGATTGCTGTGAATTGGAGGCCAGCCTGGGCTAAATAGTGAGCTCAATGCCCACCTGAACTGCATAGTGAGACCCTGTCTCAAAAAGAAAACAAAGAAGCCAAGCCCTCAAAGCTTTGTCATGTCTCCCAAGATGAGTTTGAAATCCAAACTTGTAGTAAACAAGTTTTCACTACATGCTGTTCAGATGAGACCATGGTGTGCTGAAATGACATCCCATTCTCAAGAGATTTATAGCCTTCTGCCCTAATCAGAGGAACTGGTCCAGATGACACAGGGCTTCCTTCACACAGAACCCTGGGGGCCCTGTGACATTCACCCAGCTCTGACAGTGATCTAAAGTCTCACGGCTACAGCAAGTGAGTGTTCCAGTACAGCGTCGGGTGTGTGGCTGCTCCCAAAACTAACTATGAAAAAGGCAACTGAGTTCCCTTCCTGGTGTCCTAGAGGTGTCTTTAAAAAGTTAGGAAGAAGTGAGTTTATTCGATTGAAACCAGAGCCCGAGAGAAAACACAGAACATGGAGAGTGGGGTGATGCTTTGAAATCTTAGCCTCTTCATCTCTCCGTGAGATCATCCCCTCCCTAACTCTGTTTCACAACACTCTCCAGTTTCTGGGTTAGATCTTCCAGAGGAAGTGAGCCTTGTGTTATGCCTTGGGTAGAAACCCCAAGTCTGGCTTGAATAAGAGTAGAGTTGAAACATAAATAACTCACTTCTGTTTTGAAACCAAAGCACAGAACCATACATTAACCCAGCGGGGCTCATGAGGGCTGTAGGAATCCTAAGAAAGGGACTCTTGCCTGTCCCCCTGCTGCTGGTGTCCCTGTGGAGGAGGACAGCTGGGAGGCCACATCCACCAGTGTGCCTCCAGGTCGTTGTTACCTGTATAAAGGTTCATGGCTGGACATCTCCTCCCAGCACAACGTCAGAGGACCCTTTCCTAACATGCTCACGCTGTAATTTCTGGGCTGAGCCCTTTGATGATTGTGTTTTTCTGTTTATCTGGAAATGCAATGAACGTGGCCTGGGGTCCCAGGGGGTGGTAGACGTCCTCCTGCCCTACTGCTATGTGGAGCCGCAGCAGAGCTGCGGTTCCGTATAACGTCCCGCTGACATATCGTGCGCTGGTGTGCAGTGTGCTATGTCACAGAGTGTCCCCCATAGGACACCCACTGACCTAAAGGACTGCACTGACCTGCGATGGCCACTGATCTCCATGTGTCTTTCCAGGTGTGACTTTGAAGACACAGCTCAGTACCGGGCCTCGGCGATGAATGTCAAAGGAGAGCTTTCCGCCTACGCGTCCGTTGTGGTGAAGAGTAGGTTTGCCAGATTCACTCTGCTCCAAGTGATCTTTAACAGTTCTGCCCATTGCTGGAGTTCACCGTCAGTCTGAAGCGCTTCCCATGTGTCTCTGCTTCCTCTTTAGGGTACAAGGGAGAACTTGACGAGATGCGCTTCCGCGCCGGGGCTGCCACCTCGCCCCTCAGCTGTAAGTTCCGCTGGGATTTGCTGAGTGGCGTCCTGGTGTCTTTATGGGAAACATGGCCTAGGAAGTTATTCAGTCCTGCTGAAACCCATGTGTCCTATACGCAGCTCGCTGCCGTAGCGTGTGCCTGGACGGCGATGTTATGGCCCTGTAGTTTTTTGTTTGGTTCTTTCAATTCTGTGCTTACTGGTCTTGACGCAGTCTCATTGCCCCAAGTTTTATGAAAGCCGTGATGGGATGGGGTAAACATGGCAAGTGGCTTTTTAAGCCTGTCCGTATTGAGCTCAGGAAGTGCATTACACACCTGGGCAGAGTGACTGGCCTGGCGACAGTGTCCTCTGAATGAGTCCTGTCCACTCTCGAGGCTGCGCCACCGTCTGTGCTTCCCCTTTCCTCCCCTCCAGGGAGGGGCTGGAGGCCCAGTCTACGCCACTCACTGCTAAGAGGCTGGCAGGGCCTTGGCTCATTTGTTCCACAAACAGAGGGCTGGCTCTGTGCATCCTGCTACTAGGTCCTGGCCTTTGCCGTGTGATGGGTTCTGCTCAGGTGTTGCCATAGGCTAGCAAATGCCGTGGACAAAGCTCTCTGCTCTTGGTTTTTTTCTAGTAGTTAACGTGCATTGATTGGTTGCTGTCAGCATCATATAAAGGTATTTTTATATGTGCTGGTTCATTTAAGTCTCATCAGTAGCTTATAAAGCTCCTATCTAACTTTTATCTATGCTAGGCAGATGGGGAAACAGGAGGTTAAACAGCGGACGGTAGCCCACACACTGGCAGTACTGGGACTTGGAGTCTGGCCTTACTAATTCCAGACCATAGTGCTGAGCGGGGGTTGCAAGGAACTAGACTGTAAATATTTTAGGTTTTGTGGGCCATGTGGTCTGTGTTGCAGCTGCTCCGCTCTGCTGCTAAGACACAAACGCAGCCACAGGCTGTGGGCTGAGTGTGTGGTGTGTGCATGAAGCCTCCCTCCTGTCCCGACGTTTGAGTTTTCAGGGATGTGTCACAAAACCGTCTTTCCCTTTTGATGGTCGTCAGCCTTTGGAAAAGCTGAAAATCATTCTTAAGGGTATGGATTAGGAGAACTCAGATTGGCCCGCAGAGTTTCCTGCCCCTGCCCTAAACCATTTGTCCCAGGATGGAAAGTACATATGATAAAAAGTTGAAACAATAAAGGGTGTGTTGCCATCTGGTTGTTAAAGCTGGGTTCCTCTTGAACCCTAAAACAATCCTTGGCCATGCAGCAATCTCAGAGATGGAAAAAACCTAGATGTTAGAGCCTACTCTGTTTGCAGAAGGCTTAGAACTTCAGGGTTGCGACAGAGCCTCCTTAAGACCCGCCTCTGCTGTGGAAGGTGGCTGTGGTACAACCCAGCCTCCCGACTGCATCCCTCGGGGTTTGGTGGGACATCATCCCTCAGAAGCAAGCAGATGGCAGAGAGGTGAAGAGGCGTTAAAAATAGAGATGATAATGGCACATGCACCTGTGGGGTGATTATGGGGCTCCACTGAGTTGACAACTATTAAATACGTGGAACAACAGGTGGCAAAGCTGATCTAAATAAATTGCGTTTTTGAGATGCTATTACAGGGCCTTAGGAAAGAAGAATAAACATAAAGAGACAGGTTCTAAACTTCGGAGGCGGGCCATTAGGATTGGAATCTTAATCCTGCCCATGCTGCTGGAGAGGTCTCAGTGCTAGCTGTGTATCATCAGTATTTCTGTGTCTCCTGCGAGGAGGGCGAGACTCAGGCCCATGCTGCAGAGCTGCAAGAGTAGATGAGGGGTCCAGGCGATGAGCCTCGCACTTAAAAACCCATCAGCAGAAGTCACTGCTTTCCTAACCTTTTTTTCTCTCTCTGTATTAAGGAAGGTCTACAAGGTCTACAGGGTGTTCAGGGTCTCACTATTAGATCGGACTAGTTGTGATCCGCCTGTTTACAGCCTCCCAAGAGCTGGATTACATGCACACACCACCACACCCAGTCTCAATTGCTGTCTCAGCATGCCCCAGGGATTGAACTCCTGGCCCCTGTGCCTACTTGTAGGCACTTTAATCTGCTGTGCTATTTGGCACTTCCTTTTGAAAAGGGAAAAAAGAAAACCTAGGAAACTCAATAATCCAGGGATGTAATCTAGAATTATGAATTTTCTGAGAGTAATTCTTTCAAAGTTACAAAATTTTACACTCTTCCATTGTCTCTTATTGGGATTTTTTGAAAAAACTTTTTTAGCGAAGTCTTGTCAGGTTATAGCTCAGCGGCACAGATGCCTGCCTGGCAAGCACAAGGTCTTGAGTTTGATTCGTGGTACAAAATGAAAGAAGTCTTTCTCTTACTTAAAGACTACTTTTTTAAAAATGTTGCTACTTTGTATTGTCCAAATGCTGGATATTCAGACCCAACACTGTCTTCTTCTTCTTCTTCTTCTTCTTCTTCTTCTT